GAAGAGAGGAGGAGAGGAGGAGAGTATAAACTCAGAATATTTCTAACTGATGTCTTACCTTTGACCTCCAGCTGCTTGAGTTCAAACATTAATCTTATGGTTATATTTATATATATATATATTTCTTTACTTTGTTGTTCACCCTTAAAGTAAACACAGGCTGCAGTGATTCTCTGATTGTAACATGAATCCATCCTGATGGTAGAGCGGCTTTTATCTGACAGGAAGTGTTAGTTATGTATTATCAGTAACAGGCTGTGTGAGTGCAGACGTTCTGATACTGGAGCTCTGTGAGCTCTTCCACCAGCAGTCCACTTTCACACACTCCCTTTATGTAATCGGAGATAAAATACAATCCAAGTTTTCCAGGACAACACACATTATTTCCAGGATATTCTGCTCATTTCAATCACTTTCCAGGTGTTTCCAGGACTGTAAATGTCCAGGTTTTCCAGGTGTTTCCAGGACACTGTCAGTCTCTGATGTTACTACAACACTGCAGCTGCAGCTGTCCCGAGACTCCACAGCACACACTGATCACATTCTTTAGAGGTCAATAATCAATAACACTGCTACAGCCCGTGCTGCGATCTGATTGGCTGCCACTGCGTCTCTTTATGAGACCTGACAGATTCAAATAAGAAGAAACGGTATGCTGTAATGTGGAGTTCAGACAATCAGCACGCACACAAAGACTCACTGACGTATGAAACCAGCACTGAGAGATAAAGCACATCTGTTGCTTAGCAACACTCGACTCTCAGGCTGCAACTTAATGCAGCGACGCAGCATCAGAGAGAGGAAGCCGGCTGGAAAGTGCCCCGATTCCCTTTTAGAGCAGTTTGACCCTCACAACTTTATCTGCTGCTCAGGAGGAGCTGCTTTTATCTGCCAGGGACTTTAAAGGATCAGTTCACACAAATCACAGAGGAACCCACTGACTGTTTAACCTCTGGAGGCATCGAAGCATCAGAGTCAGTCAGGATGTCGTTCCAGTGACAATCCACAGACAACAGTTAGAACACAGGGAAAGTTTCAGAGGTCATTTTTTAATCCTGTGAGCACCACAGGCGACATTTAATTCACCTTAAATAAAGAGACGTCCCAACGTCCTCTGCTGCCGCGGGACTGATTTCTATGTGTTTCTATGTTGGGGTGCAGCACTGGCTAACGTTAGCTTATAAATGGACACCCACCACAACACAAAGATCAAAGTCAAAGCTAACAGCTGTTAGCACCTCCTGTTAAAACGTGATGATTCTCAGACAACCTCTGAGTGTTTGTGTGGGTCCATCAGTGCACCAGTGTACAACAGCAGCAGACCAACAGGCTGCCACACTGACAACCACTGTTTAAAGTCCTTCAACTGGAACTGCTGCAGTAAAACAGTCTGCAGGTATTTGGCCAGCTGAAACTTGTCCACAGTGACGCTCCTCCAGGGTCTCATTTACATTCACACACACCAAGTTTCAGCAAGTCCTCCCCAAACCATTTCACCTGCTTCACCTTAGCGGAGCTACAAACACTGCAAAGCCCACTGGAGGACGCCACATAAAGCTCCCAGTCGCTGCAGAGGAGAGCAAAAACTACAACATACTTGTCCTAAATTAGGCCCTGTCCACACACAGAACTGCAAGGAGACAAAAAAACCACTGGAAAGATTTAAAAATGACCACAAACAGACTCAAGTATGTAAATAACTGCACAGGCCCTGTCCACACAGACTCAGTGGAAACACACCTCAAGGTAAACTCCTGCCTGAAGACTTCAGAAACTCTTCAGAAATGTATGTGTTAACGAGCAGACAGACTCAGTTTGACAGTCAGAGCACTGAGGAGGAATACGGTGTACAGACGGTGCCGTGGTTGTGTGAATATATCTTAAACTGTTATGTAAGCAGTTGGGAGGACAAATACAAACAGTTTTCTTTTTTTACTGACAGTCTGCGAACTTCACAACGACATGGAGAGACTTCCTGTTGTATCTGCAGACTTTCTAACCTCCATTAGAGCTCTTACAAGCTCTAGTTGTGTTTCTGCTAGCAGCCGTTGTAGTTGTGCACTGATCTGGGAGCAGCAGAGTTTCACTGCCAGTAACAGTAAAATATGCAGAGTGCAGATAAAAATAGGACGAACGCTGAAAGCGGTTAAAAATAAAAAACAGCAACAAGAGTCAGAAAAATCAAAGAGCCTTCAGAAGCTGCTGATGGTTGGTGGAAATAACTGGAATCACTACAGCAACATTTAAAGGATTACAGAGTCTGCTGGTCCTGGTCAGAGTCAACAGCAACAAGACACAAAGCTACAGCAACAA